TCTCCATCGCTTGTGCCTCTACTCTAATGAAAATTCATCAGTAATCAAATCCCTACAGAAGTGACCACTTTTCCATAGCTTTGACCACAACTACATCAACTGAATGTCCACCACAGGTTCCCAAATGGCTCATATAGACAGACCAGGTGAACTTCATAGGCACCTAGTTCGAACAGATGTCGAGCTTGCCGCACTATTCTGAAGCCTTCCAACGATACAAAACAAAAATAGAAAAACAGAAACTTGAGCGGAAATCCACAAAACACGAGGTATACAATAAACCCTTCTGTTCAGCTAAGCTGCAGGCATCGCTAAGTTGCTGCTATAAATCCGCTCCAGGTTCTGACCGAGTCGTATAGAAAATACTAAAATATCTGCCCTCTGAAACTCAAAATGCCTTATCACTGTATAACGCTGTTTGGTTTTCTGGCGAGATCCCCACTGCTTGGAAAGAAGCCATTATTGTTCCGATGCTAAAACAGGGCAAGCACCCATTCTTAGTCTCCAATTACAGGCCTATCATCCTTACCAGTTGTCTGTGCAAGGTCTTTCGAAAAGATGATAAATAGAAGACTGATACGCTCTCTTGAAACAAACAGTCTACTTGAGTTGCGCCAGTGCAGGTTTAGAGAAGGAAAATCCACCACCGACCGCCTTATCTGTATTGAGGCACAAATCCGTGAAGCTTTCGTCTATAACCAATTTTTTCTTTCTTCGTTCCTTCACATGGAGAAAGCCCACGACGATATGTGGTGCTTCGGCATACTTGGAGACCTCTCACATTTAGGCGTGCATGGCAGAATGTTCTGTATAATTGAAAGTTATTTGTTCAATCGGACATTCCATGTTATAGTGGACACTGTTCTGTCACAAACAGTTGTGCAGGAGACAGGAGTGCCACAAGGAGCTGTATTGCGTCATACACTTTTTATAATCACAATGAATTCTTTGCGCATGTCCATCCCACGAAATATGTTTTATTGCATATACGTTGATGACATACAAATTGGCTTTAAATCATGCAGTCTTTCAATGTGTGAACGGCAGGTTCAGTTGGGTTCGAACAAGCTTTGGAAAGGGGCAGATGAAAATGGATTTGAATCAATGGAGCCACAAAAGAGCACTTGTGTCTTATTCTCCAGAAAGAGAGGCCTTCATTTTGATCCGAACGTTCTCCTGCATGGTCAACGTCTGTCTGTTAAAAGGGAGCATAAGTTTCTAGGCATAATATTAGACACCAAACTAACATTCATACCACATAATAAGTACCTAAAAAACGATTGCTTGAAAACCATGAATATTCTGGAAGTATTGTCACGCACTTCATGGGGTAGTGAAAAGGATTGTCTCATGAATCTATACAAAAGCCTGATACGTAGACGCCTAGATTATGGAGCAGTAATATACCAGTCTGCAACACCAACTACCCTAAAAATGCTCGACCCTGTTCACCATCTTGAAATTCGTCTTTCTACAGGTGCTTTTCGTACTAGTCCCGTAGAAAGCCTGTACATTGACTCGAACGAGTGGTCACTACATCTCCAGAGACTCTACCTATCTTTTCTATACTTCTTCAAAATAAACACGAACAACAAACACCTCGTACAATCTACCATCAATAACTTGTCCAGCTCTGTTATATTTCAAAAGCACCCTGCTATGAGACAGCGCTACGCACTTCGTGAGAGGAGTCTAGCCAAAGGAATGGGTGTGCCACTTGGTGAACACAGTTTGGCTGTTCCACGCTGTATATGTACCGCCATGGCAGTGGCAGCTCATAGATTGTGATATTTCCTTCGTTAAGTTACTAAAAAGTGCCTATTGCCCATATTTATACACACTTCCTTGAACTCTAGCATAAATATTTATGTCCGGAATTTTTCACCGATGCCCCATAGACTCTCACTTCTGTGTTCTACGCAGCAATTCGTCCATCTTTTTCAGATGTATGTGTTCTGCACCCTAATATGAGCATTTTTTACTTCAGATGCATGCGCAATATTATCGGTCATCAAACATATAAAAGAATTGAAACCGTCAAATGCTGTGATATATACTGATTCTTCAAGTGTGGTAACAGCTCTGAAATTCCTTAAAGGGCCACTCACCAGGCCCCATATCGAATTTTAGTTAGACAGTGGAAGTTGTTGGGTGTCCAATGAGGAACATTTTGCCGCAAAAATTTTTTGAATTGGTTCATCACGAGCAGAGAAAACAGGTTTTTTGAAGCAGCGTGAAACGAGGATGAGAGGAGGGGAGCTCGAAACCCTTGCCGCTCCTCCGCTAAGCCTTCGCAAGCCAAATCTCTTCCCTACCCTCTCCAGCATCCGAACAACAGGTGACGTGCGCATGACGTGCCCTAACAAGTCCGACCCCCGAGCACGTGAGCAGCGTTGCTTTGTTGTCCAGCGTTATTTTGTGGTCTTCTGCCAGTCTCTGCGGGATTGTTTGGAAACGATGGCTTAGACGCGGTAGAGTAGATGAGCACAACGAGTGCGTGAACGCGTAGGAGCGTTCCACGGCAGTTGTGTGCTCAATGCGCTGACCGGGAGACACGAACGCATGCGAAACGCTGGCACATTAGCCCCGCCTCTCGTAGCACTTCACGGGGAAAAAAAAAGAAAAAAAAAGGTGCACAATTTTTTATTGCGTCTCATTATTTATTTCAAGTTTTATTAATCTCCTAAAGCGACAAATACATAAACTACGCATGTTGTGTTAAATAATTTTTGCCATGTCTCGTGGTATATACTGTTGACAACGTCAGAGTAGAGTCATCTACGTAGAGGACCAACGTCATTGCATTGCCGTGTACCTAGGGCCATTCATACGACCACGTCATGCCCTCATTCTCTAGGCGTGCGCCGGCAGAGGGGAGGGGAGGAGCAGCGTTCATCTTGAAATTTGACCCATTCCCGCGGCGCATTACGTTGCGAATTTGGGCAGACGTGAAAATTGTCAAACCTGGTGAGTGGCCCTTTAAGAAACACACGAACCCTATCCTTGTCTCTGTATACTCACTTCTATGCACTATCTATGCACAGCAGCAGTCCGTCATAGTCTGCTGGGTGCCAGGACATGGCGAGATTGAAGGAAACATGTTAGCATCAGCCCACTGTTTCCGCCCACGAGAATACCACCGTCGATACATCTATAGCGGCCTCTTCTCTTCACCTCAAATCCTTTATTAAATGAAAGCTCAGGGATTATTGGCACCATTTATGGGATAGACAAACAAAAAATTCACCTCACCTCATCACTTCACCTCATCAAGCCGCATATCGCGAACTGGCTGCCAACATTGAAGTCACGCTGCACAGAAGTAAGACTTACCAGATTCAGAATAGGACATACACACAGCACACACTCACACTTTTTGTCTGGTGGCGATCCACCTCTCTGTAAAAAGTGTGATGAACCTCTCACCGTGCTTCATGTTTTAATACATTGCAAAGAACTGGATGTGAAAAAACACTTTCCATTTTTCTTCCGCCATCAAATTCCTTTGCACCCATCGATTTTTATATAGGTAGAGAACCGCTTTTTAGTTGTCAATTATTGTTTGCATTTTTAAAGGATGTAAATAGTTATCACATCATATTTTCAGGCATCCCCGCAGCACGACCTCTCTGAAAAGAGGTCGCTGATGCGATGGCTACACTGAACAAAGCACTTGCCTCGCAGCCTTTGGACACACGGGCATAGACGATCAAGGCACTTGTGCTAATGCTGTACATGTGCTCTATGGTTTCATTATCACGAACTTTCCCCATTCATTCACACTATAGACATTTCACGTCATGGTCATGATTTTAATACTTCTATGTTTTTACCTGCCCTAGCGCAAGGAATTTTAATGCCCTTATACAGCCACTTATTATAATCATTGTTCACATCTCTAGTCCTGTGACCTGGCACTCTTTGGCCATCAAATAGCCCTTGCACCACAAAATGACAAACATCATCATCATTTTTCTTTTGTTTCTTTCCTCATCCTTAGGCAGTGCACTGAGATCTGTTGCATTAGCTCTAGCCTCCTGATTTGCTGAATATCAGTGACAGTTCATAATGTCACTAGTCTTGGGTTTGGTCCCCTGACCAAGATGAAAATTTCTGAGCTATTGAGTTCACTTATGAAATAACCCACATGCGACTTCATTATGCTAGTTAAGTCAACTTGAGCCCAGAAAAGAACAAGATCATTTGTTTGTTAGATGATGTGAACCTCCCGCATAGTCACTATGTCACGACTTGACCGCTTAACCTCAGTGTGCTGTCCATGACTGTAGCCAATCACTTTGGTGAAGGCACCACAATGCTCGACAGGTCATAGGACATGCTGCGTTCCAGAACCAGCGTGAAAAGTATATTTGTTTACTTTTCTCGAACTGAATGCTACCAAAAACTAATTGTGTACGCATTGGTAAAAGGCTTGATTTCTTCTCAGCCTGACAACATAGCCTCTGAATAAAAATATCAGCCTGTAGTAGTTTGGTTATACAAAAACTTGTGCAATTATAGTTTTTATCTATTTACACTGCTAGACAATAGGTTTTGCTGATGCTAACTTTTCTAAGTCATATTTACACTATGCATCTGTAAACTTATTAATTTTGACATCTTGTGAGATTATTTGCTTTTTCTGACAAAGTTTCTTTCGCTTGTCAAGCTTCTTTTAAAAAGACTTTTGTGGTACCAGTCTAATTTATTACAACTCTGTTTTGCTCAGATTGTCATGCGTAAGATAACCAAATTGATCTTCGTTACTGTTAATCTTAAATGAACAAGGCAAGTTAAATGTACCTGTGTGTTATGAGCAGAAAGAAGCTCATCCTTAAGCATCTATGATAGAAGCAATTTGGGGGTTTGGCACTATCTGCACGTGTTTACTTGACGTCAGTGTTTATAAAGTTCAGTCCATAGTACATTTTCTGAACTGTTTTTTGTTGTGGACTAATGACTGCTCATTGCCCTAACTCTGATATCACTTTTTTATGAAGATTATGGAAGTTTGCCTTCTACACTTGGAAGATGGAAAGGCGAAGCATTGGCACGAAGACCTCAAGAGAAGCGTTATTAGGGATTTCATGAATGCGGACCCTGACCTTGTCAAGGCTTTGAGGGACGTTAAGGGATTTTGGTCAAGCTTCCTGGGCTTCTTCCTGTGGTGCTTTTGGATGTTAGGTATTAATCTGTAGAACTTTTAACTTAACTAGGCCCATGGAAAGTACTACCCATGTTTAAAATTTAGTGTTACTAATCAAAGTTATGGTGTTCAAGTAAACTTTAAAAATTTAGTGCCAAAGCTCCACTAACTGCAAGTGAAAATTTTAGAAGGCCAAGAAATGTTACAGTACAGCCTGGGCATATTTTTTTTAACAAATAATTTATTACAGGGCACAGGTGAAAGCCCTTTCATCACATTTTACATTTTTATTTTTTCCAACAACTTCTCTGTTACGTAGTCATTTATTTCGTGCAAAGCTTAAATAAATCTCCTGTTTATTCATTGTAGCTTTTTATTTATTTTGTGGTTTAGTATCTATAGTATGTGTATAACTGTGATTGCATTATGACATCATGTGTTCAATTTCTGTGTGTATCTACTGAAAGGTGATTCCTTTCAGAATTTCGCCCAAAACAATGTGTGAAGACATTCTTTATCATAAACCAGTGTACAAACATGAACACAAAAGAAAACATGAGAAAGTAGATATGAATGTTAAAGTTCACTATGGAGTTGCCAAATGGATACAAACTGCAATTCTTGGAGCTGAAATCAAAGTTTGAAGGTAACCATGTTTGCTGGCTTTTTAAGCACAGGACTGGGAAGCCGCTTGAAGATTATGATTCCGGGCATTCAAAACTGATAAAAAATGGGGTGGCCTTCATGTGTTTGTGTGGTACATTAACCAGCTCTAGTCATGACGCAATATTAAAAACCTTTTTTAGCGGAAATCAACAGGTTTAAAGTGACAAGTTATCCTGACTTTGTTTTTAGGACTACTGTGATAAAACTAATGAAAAGGAAAAACTGGCAGTTAATAAAAAAATTTTTGAACAGCAGCGAGACCACATGCTTATCAAAAATAAGGGTTGATGGACGTTCCCTTACCGAGCCACTCGATATCGCTAATGCTTTCAGTGATACTTTTGCATCAAATTCCCCCGATTCACTAGTTGACCTTCATTTTCCCATTCTATCTCGTTCACCTCAGTCTTTTTACTTACGTCCTACATCTGCAGACGAAGTCTTTCAAATCATGTCATCTCTTGAAACCAAAGGGCCAGGCTTAGATTCCATTCACCCGCCTAAGATAAAGCTCGTGGCACGTGAACTGTCTCCTATTTTAGCTGAAATAATTAACAAATTGTTCAAAGCAGGTGCATTTCCTGATGCTTTAAAGGTAGGAAAGATAACACCTGTTTTCAAAAAGGCCGATCGTTTGTCAACTAATAATTACCGTCCGATTTGTGTACTTCCTTTCTTTAGCAAAGTAATCGAAAAGCTTTTTCACTTGCGTTTGATGTGCTATCTGCTTAAATTTAACCTACTCTCTCCCCACCAATTTGGTTTTCGACCTGACTACTCGACAGAGCTCGCCTTGCTCAGCTTTACTGACCGAATTAAACAAGCCATAGACAATGGATTACTTACTGGGGCAGTTTTTATTGACCTCACGAAGGCTTTCGACACAATTAACCACCGGATCCTTCTGTGTAAACTTGAATCTTTCGGAATTGTGGGTCCCGCTTTGCAGTTCATTCGCAATTACTTAACAAATCGCTCACAGGTAGTTTATGTCAATAACATTGCGTCATCTGCTAAGCCAGTTACCATGGGCGTCCCTCAAGGTTCAATCTTAGGCCCTCTTCTATTCCTACTTTTTATTAACGACCTACCTAGTTCCCTTAACCATACTGTCTTCTTTATGCCGATGACACTACTATTTTTACATCCCAGAAAACAACTGCTGAACTAGAAAGTAGCTTAAACTCCGATCTCTGTAATATTTATCAATGGTGTGTTAATAATCATCTTTATATGAATCCCTCTAAAACTACATTTGTGGTGTTTTCATCCGCACAGAACACATTTCCCTCACCAGTTTCCGTATCTCTTAACAACCATATTATTTCCGTATCGGATCATGTGAAGTTTTTAGGCTTAATACTAGACAAGCATTTGAAATATAACGATCATCTACTCTCAATATTAAAAAAAGCTTCTTTTGGCATTCATGTTCTCATTAAAGCTCGCCCTTATTTTCAGTCACGCATTATTTTATCATTATACTATGCATATATTCATAGCCATCTTTCCTATTGCATTTCATCCTGGGGTAATCATTTAATCCTGGGGTAATTGCATTTCATCCTGGGGTAAAGAACCCCAGGTGGTCAAAATTACCGGAGCCCTCCACTACGGCGTCTCTCATAATCATATGGTGGTTTTGGGACGTTAAACCCCACAAATCAATCAATCAATCAATCCTGGGGTAATACATATGCCAGTCACCTGGAGCCCCTTCTACATCTTCAGAAACGGGCACTACGTCTTATCGCCTTCGCTTCATTTCAATCGCCTTCTACGCCACTCTTTATTTATTTTTCCGTGGTTCCAATTAATCTTTTATTCACTCTAAAGTTAGCTATATTGATGTACCGCCTCATTTATCATGGTCTATGTGTTTCAGGGCTATCCACACAACATCTTGTCAATACTAATAACACCAGGTTTTCAGCCTGTCACAATTTCCTTCTCCCTAAAGTGTGTAGCAATTATGGAAAACTAATTCTTAAATTTACAGGTGTATCTGTATGAAACAACATACCACTTGAAATAAAGTTATGTCCCACATTCTATTCGTTTCGCAAAATGTTTAAAGAGTACCTAATCACAAAACGTGTTTTCTAAACTCTGCCGTCGTGCCTTACTCCTAATTTTAGTATTTCTTTTACTCACTATACCACTTGCTGTTACACAGAACTTTTCTTGCCTTGTTGTTATGAAATTTTAACCATTCTTTGTTTAATTCGTACAAAGTGTTTTTCACTGCTTGCTGCATTGTTATCACACTTGACTTATTCTCTAACAGAGGTCCCCCCGACAGTTTTCTAACTTCGGGACCTCCTCTGTACTGTAGAATTGTATTCATGTAAATGTATGCATTCCTGAAATAAAGTTTGATTGATTGAAAAAAAAAATGCTGCTTAAAAAAAAATGGGTAAAGTTTTAAAAGAAGCAAAAGGGTAAAGACTGAGAAGATAGCAGAAATAAGAAGCTAGCGACTTTTGTTAGTGGCGTCCCCCTCTCCATCATCGTTCTTCCTGCCATTTCTGTTGCTGTGGTGTTGTCTCCACTGGTTCCGTAGACTGTGCACATAAACTCTCGGCAAGGTCCCAGTTGAGGGGTTAATGATTCCAAATGTTGATTAGATTTGGTGGTCTACGGAACTATTGCCAGTGGAGTAAACACCAGAGCAACAGAGTCGGCGGGAAGAAGGATGATGAAGAGGGGGACACCACTAACAAAAGTTGCCTAGCTTCAGAGCCAGCCGGACAGTCACTCCTGAGGAAGGGACCGAATCTGTACCAGAACGTCAGGCCAGTTATTCTGGCTTCTAATTTTAACATCAGAAACTATGGACTAAATGTGGCTGGAGAGTTTGTTTTAGACATATAAATTTTTACCTATCAAGGGGGGGGGGGGGGGGACAGAGCTCTGTCAATTATGTTCACCGTAGGAAAATAGGAACGTTTTTTGGAATTATCATAGTCTTGTCTGTCTGTGCCTCTTACGACGAGTAGCTTATGCACAGCTGTGCAAAGAAAAGTGTGAGCACAAGGGTATCAAACGGCAAGAAAGCTGTCGAGTCGTGAATAGAAGTGTCTTGTTCTTTGTGCCTCGAATGTTGTGTACAAAATACCTTTGTCCTTTGGTACCACTTACATCGGCCAAACAAGCTGATGCGTTAGCAGTAGGTTCACTGAGCATGAAACAACGTTAAAGAAAAAGGAGACTGGTCACTTGGCTATCCACTGTAGAAAGTGCAATTGTTATCCTGTTCTCACCGATGCAAGTGTTCTATACAGAAGCCAAAATCGTACCATCAGGGAAATCATTGAAGCATTACACATCAAGAAGAAGAGAAGGGGTTGTATCAGCTGGGCCTGACTTAATCTTCTAGGAAAGGTGATTAGCCTTCTAGACGGGACTTCGGATGTAGAATTTGTCATGCTCAACTTGAGCATACTGTAGCAAAGTTGTTGCCTTGATATGCATATGTTGCATCGTGTTACAATCATCTGTATATATATTATATGTGTATGTTGAATAAAAATGTTAGTTGATAATCAGTGCTTGTGTCGTTGGTTCTTTCCTTCTCTTATATTTGTATTTGTGCACAGTTTTACGATAAAGATCTACCAACTCGCCCAAATAGCTACTTTGCTCAAGGACATTAAGTTACTAAGATAGCCATTACATGAATAATGCACCCATGTGACCTTGAAACCACAATAGTATGCACAACACAGGTGCTTTCTTGAGCAAGTTTCTGGTTCAATTCAATAGTTCAGTGCAGGGGTTCTCAAGCATGTTGGTCCCACAAAACCCTGCTAAGCTCAATCAAGGGCCTAGGAACATGCATCGCATTTTTTGCCAAGCTTCACATTCTAAGTTCATGCCACATTCATGTACAATGAATTCAAAAAGCAAGGATGCATAAAAATATTATTTAATGACATGTAGCTTAACTCACTTTTTCGATGTGAGGCTCACTTTGGGGCAAGCAGCATGTCAGTTGCTGGATTCCGCCAATTCCTGTTCTAATTTTTCAGATAAGCTAGTGTTGAAAATGCGTACTCACAAACATATGTTGCAAATGGCAGCAGAATGTCCACTGCCTTATCAAACGGATGTGGGAATAAAGAGACCCTTCAGCCGTTTTCAGCGTGTCACAGGATATATTGCCCAGCTCGTGCGATTCTGTTCTGCACCTAGATGTGTTTATTGACACTTGGGTGCGAGTAATGGATATTATTTTGATTTATTGCACCTCAGGTTTGCGATCTAAGTGACGTGGTGAAGGCAGAACAAGGCAAAATTTATCATTGCCCTAGGTTCTCCTGAACCCACTTTGAGAAACTATGGTTTTAGTATACCAGTTATGCTGTTAGTAGTAGTTGTTGCTAGTTATGCAGTTCTAAAAACAAATGGCTTAGCTGCTGATTTTTTTAAAACATCTCTGATTTCCAAAAAAAAACATTACTACTTTCTAATTGAATACCCAGATAAAAATCTGAGTAGTACTTGTGCTTTGTATCCTCTTCAGCAGTGGTAGCTACATTGTGTCAACTTGTGGCAAGAAGTGTGCAAGATGCATGGCTCATTAGATAAATTGAACCTTCTGCAGAGTCAGTATGTTTTGACTTGACCTCAGTGTACTGCATATGACTGCAGTCGGTCACTTTAGTGCAAGCGCTACGATGTTTGACGTGTTGTTC